TTGAGGCTCTGTCTCAAAAAAAAAAAAAAAAAAAAAAGATTTTGAACTTTGTAGAAATCGTATCAAATAGATTATCTGACAATCATTTACCAATCATCAACATTGTCTCTAACATTTTACTCATATAGATGCATGTAATTCATGCATCTACCATATCTAATGTTATACCTAAAGATAAAAGGGAAGAAGTAATAGGGAGCAATCAATATGTATATGAAATTAAGTCTGAATGGGTAAGAACATGCTCTTCTGGAATATATAACCAAAGTGCTTTCAAACAGAACATGCTGTAAGGGAAATTCATTTTAATATTTAACTATATTAAAAACTCTAGGAGTTGGGATAAGAGAAGGGGAAAATAAAAGTTTTGTTTTTTTTTTTGGCCAGGGCTGAGTTTGAACACGCTACGTCCGGCATATAGGACTGGTGCCTTACTCCTTTGTGCCACAGACACCGCCCGGAAAATAAAAGCTTTGTAAAGGTTTTAAGGAGACAGAGAGAAGGGACAAGAGAAGGTGCAAGAGGTTTAAAGTATTCCACAGGTTCTGGTTTCCTTGTGCAGAAGAGAAATAAAGAAGAAATAGTGTGACATTGGTGTGATACCACCATATGCTTCTAAGAGCAAGGAACGGGAAGGTAACCACTAATGGAAGTGAACTTTCAAATTAATAAAAACAAGGAATAGGAAAATGAAGACATACTATCAAAACATGATAAGTTACATAAGTAATAGAAACAAGAATCAGTCACAACATACCTGAACCAAATAACTTACCCCATTTAAAAACAGTATGCCTTTAAAGGGACAAATGTTATATTATTCCACCTGTATGAGTTACCTACATAGGCAAATTCATACACAGAAAACAGAATGGAAGTTACCGGAGCTGGCGGGAGGAGAATGGGAATTAATGTTTAACGAGTACAAAGTTTCTGTTTGGAATGATAACGAAGCTCAGGGAATGGGTAGTGTTGATGTTTGTACATTAGGAATATAATTAATGCCCCTGAACTGCACACTTAAAAGTTGTTAAAATGATAAATTTTACATAC